ACGAGCCTTTGTAATGAAAAAAGCGAAGACTACAAACTTTTGTAGTCCAAAAAATGCACACTACAAACTTTGTCATTAACACAACCAGAAGACTACAAACCTTTGTAATGAAAAAAGCGCACACTACAAACTTTTGTAGTCTAAAAAAGCGCACACTAGTAATTTTGTAGTGAACACAAGCAGAACACTACAAACATTTGTAATGAAAAAAGCGCACACTACAAACTTTTGTAGTCTAAAAAAGCGCACACTAGTAATTTTGTAGTGAACATAAGCAGAACACTACAAACATTTGTAATGAAAAAAGCGCACACTACAAACTTTTATAGTCTAAAAAAGCGCACACTAGTAATTTTGTTGTGAACACACAGAACACTACAAACATTTGTAATGAAAAAAGCGCACACTACAAACTTTTGTAGTCTAAAAAAGCGGAGACTACAAACTGAAGTGGTATTATGTAATGACTTTCCCAATTGCGAAATATGCGAACATCGTCATGAACAATGACAACACTAAGCTAGCCACTAACTCTTGTGGCCCAAAGACCGTGGGAAACAGTTCCCAACCTAAATGCGCACTGTGCCTGACATTAGGTGTGGCAGAAAAAAGTGTAACGCTTTTCCTGATTAGGAAATCGCCCAATTAGGAAATAGTGCGCACATCATCATTAACAATGACAACACTAAGCTAGCCACTAACTCTTGTGGCCCAAAGACCGTGGGAAACAGTTCCCAACCTAAATGCGCACTGTGCCTGACATTAGGTGTGGCAGAAAAAAGTGTAACACTTTTCCCAATTAGGAAATGGCCCAATTAGGAAATAGTGCGCACATCAAAGCGCACACTACAAAGTTTTCTAACTAAGCTTGTCTTTTATAATGAAAAAAGCGGACACTACAATTTTTGTAGCCTTACTTTGGTTAAAGCTATTGGTAAATATATGTAAAGAAACTTCGAAATGAGGGTTTTCTGCCTTCCTCTGCATAGATTATGGTTCTTGTGATATTTTAAGCATCTATCCCATCAATCTCTTTTTCATTGAGCATAGCCACACCTTCCATATTTAGAAATTCACACTGGATCCTGAGAACAGCACCTCAAACATTAAACAACATGGTATGGTATGGGAGTGGAGTACCATGGTATGGTATAAGGGTGCAATACCATGGTATGGTATGGGGGTGCAATACCATGGTATGGGGTGTTGTAAGCAAATCTCTGTATGGTATGGTATGATTCCATTCCCATGGTATGGTATGATTCCATGCTCATGGTATGATTCCATTTCCATGGTATGGTATGATTCCATGCCCATGGTATGGTATGGTTCCATACTCATGGTATGATTCCTTCTCTATTGTATGATTCTGAAGACATGTGGGATAAGGAATTGGCAATCTGTTCCAAGAGCATCTCCCAAGTTGCTCCCTCATAGGTGAATGTCCATAGCATTTGTTCATATTGCTGTCAATGTCATGGACTTCTTCACCATCCCTGATTAATTGTATGAAAGACAGAATTTTGATTTAAATTAGAATAGCTATATTTAATAATGATACCTTGAAGCTTGTAATTAGAAGTCTTGGCCTGCTTGTGTTCAAATGTTCAAATCAAAATTCCCCACAATGCCAGCTCTGCTGAGTGGCAGATATGAGGAGATTCCAAATCCAAGTTTTTTGATGATCCCATTCCTATGGAATGACCCCGTACTTTTTCATAAATGGCAAATTTTGAACATATTCTATCTGAAGAAGGCATCCTTGCCTTGGGTAGTAATTTGGCTAAAGTTCATGCCTTTGCAATAAATAAAGTCTTGCAAAATTCTTGTTTTCCTTCAGAGGCCATGCCATTGTGATGGATACAACATTAATTTATTTGTCATGAATATAAATGGCCTGGCAAGATATACACTTTTAAGTGGCTTGTGATGGATTATCCCACAGTGAAAATGGCCAAACCCTGGGATAAAGCCCAATCAAGCTAATTTTTCAGTGAATTTTCAAAAGATCAAGTTCACCCTATAGCCTCCACTTGTAGCTTAAAATGTCAGAAGAAATCTGAAGAACCAGTCCACAAAAAATGGAGCCCAAGGGATCAGTATTACAGCCTGGAGAAATAATTTCATATTTTGTAAAAAGGACCCCAGACACTCTGTGACAGCTATGGAATGATGGTATGGTATGGTATGGTATGGTATGGTATGGAATGGTATGGAATGGTATGGTATGGTATGGAATGGTATGGTATGGTATGGTATGGTATGGTATGAGGTGGAATGGTATGTGGCATCCATACCATGGTATGATGGAATTGGTATGAGGGTCATACCACTCTGGAATGGGGTACCACTAAGGTTCCCTAATTCAAAGAATTGGATAACCTCATAGGTACCCAAAAATGGGTGACTGAAGTGTTCATGTTGATGCTCATATCCGCAATGGAGAGGTAACACAGTTTGGAGAGTAGGAGCATGGCGGGGACGGACGTACTGTTGATGTCAGGGTTGGTGGTGGGTGTCAGTTGGGTTAGGGTGCATTTGACTGGGATGAGAGGGATATATGCTCCACGTCGGAATTACTTACGCAGAATGTCGAGGATGTGATGGAGTGGACACGGCGGGCTGTTCCTCTTTACCATCCTCTTTGGCCTTGCACCATCACCGGCACCCTCAAATGGCAACCCTCACAGACCTCACTCACTCACTAGAACCAAGTAGGAGGATGACCTGATCTACAGTTCAAGAGAAAAGCATCTTGCCTCTCACCGAAATCAGCAAACAGCAGAACAGTCTCTTTTTTGAACGTACCTTCAATTCCTAGGTTCTCTCAACGTGTGCTGTGGTCATCATGACACGCTTTACAGTCCTCGGTCCATCCCTGTAACGTGTCCAGGCACCCTCGACGTCGACCGTCCACCCATTACACGTACAACCACTTCTGCTCACCATGGGATCCACGACGAAGAGATACCGCGAGGAGCTGCCCAAGATTCTGATGTCAATGAACGGCGGTGGCCCAGGGGAAATGGAGGAAACGATGATGTGGTACGCAGTGTCGCACGAAAAGGCCGAGGAGGAGGACTGGATACGTTCCAGGGCATCATGGGTAGATGATAAGTGGCGGAAATTTTCCTTGGATCGGATGGAGAGGTGAGAGTGAGTTGCTTTTCACACGTTTACTTCGTTGCCAGAATGAAAACTGTTGGAAGAGTACAGATACTATCACTGCCTGGACCCACTCCACCACCTCCACCCTTGGGATGGCCGAAGAAACACAAGGACTATTCGTCTGCAACTGGCTGTCCCCTTTCTCACCTTCAAGGCAGTCTAGAAGATATTCATGGACAAACTGTCAATCTGGCAGTTAGTTGCCCACATTGACTGGTCAGGCAAGTTGTGCGATACAAAGGATGAACCCAACTGGATGCAGATATTCTGCAAAGACATTATTCAGTTTCAGTACATTTCGTGTCCCCTCGCAATTCAATCTAAACTGACTCTGGGCCTCAAAATAAGGCGGTAATATGCCACCCTCTGGTCCAAAGTCTTCATGCAGCCCTTGTCAGACCGCGCATCGTCCCCAGCCACTGAACGATCCACCTCTGCTGAAACGGCCGACCCTCCTCAAATACTATCCCGCACCCCATCTACTTCCAGACAACACGACCTCAAGCCGCAGTAACACAACGAAAGCACACACAGCGACATTTGCTCATTCTCGCTCCCTGTCCATCTCTCTCGAGCAAGAACGAAGACACAAAGAACGCGCGGGGACCGGTGGGGGTCAATAAAAAACGTGTGTTCAACAGCGAGGTTAACATGTCGCGCGTGGTGAAGCACATGCCCAAGATGCAACGGACAGAGAGCAAGAAGGAGTTAGCAGTTGGGAAAGGAGAGGAGAAGGCGGTTGGGAAGACGACCAACCTTGAGGGACGTGGGTGCGGCTTTTGTGGAAGAAATGCCTGCTGAGCTGCATGCGAGGCCTTCTTTGCTGTCTCAAGTGCAATGCCAGGTGGATTCACAATCGAAAGGGGGTCAACGACTGGCGGCTGGTCGGTCTACTTCGTCTTCATATTGGGCTAGGGACCTGTTCGGGTTTGGGAGGCCCAAGATGGGCAATTGGAAGACTCAGGCGATTCTCTCCAGAAGCGACTCGCCAATCACCAAAATTATGAAGATACTCTTCCCTCCAGCACGAGAGAAGATTCTTGTAGTTCGCGCCACCACGCCAAAGACATTCAGCAGGCGTAGCAAGGCAATCTTCAGAGCCTCGAAAGCCGAATTAGAAACTATGTGGTCCTCTTCTCGCATCTAGCGGGTGGGTCCTTTGTTGAGTGCCAAGTACGTTCTGCACTCGTGTTGGATTGTCAGATTTTCAGAACTCGGCATGTATCGTGTCTTTTTTCCTTTTTTTCTGGTGCTCATGCTCATTGAATTTGCTTCCTATCAGGTACAGGTACGTCAAGCGCCGATATGATGCCCACAAATCTATGGAACTTCGGCTGGCCATAGGGGCTTATTGTCAACAAGCGATAGTATGTTATCTTTCCTTCGGCTTCTTGACATTTCATTGGTCATCTGGCGGTCTAGCCTCGAAATGCGAATGTATTTTTCCATGTTTCCCTGCGATAGACAGATGGGTAGAAGGATTGCAGAGATATACTAAGTATGCACAAGGAAACATTTATCAAAAGCAATGTGTAAGTAACAGAACAAAATGATAAGTATTGAACACCACCAATGACTCAGGAAAAAAAAGAGGACTGTCCAAAAAGAATCTGAGGCAATAATGATAATGATGACACAAGAAGGATCCTAGTAAGATGGCGCCGAAAAGGAGAGATAAGATACCTATGGTAAGGACTGAAAGCCCAACTTGTCGATTCACTGGAACAGGTGCAGTTGGGTACGCCGGAGCTCATGAAATTATGCAGTACGCATGATTCCCTCTTCTGCCTGATGCTTTGTCAACGGGTATTGTGAACTTAGTGTTGTCCTCAACATCCGCAGAATAAGCGCTGTATGTTGTGAATGTGTCCATCGGTAGGTGTTGAAGCAACGGGAGATGTGTTAAGACATCAAGAGGGAGTGTACTGAGAGGCTTTGGCTCCTTTTACTCAAGTGTGTTCAGAGCGTCCAAGGTCTGGATTTGGGAACGCTGCTACTGGACACGTAGATTGTCCCAGTTGAACGAATGTCCTGTAGGTTGGCTGGGGGGACTAGCGGAGGAGCTGTAACTAGGCTATGGTTTTTGGGACCTTGGTGCGGGTGGGGATGGACTTTCCCGCAGCTGAAATTTGGCCGAGGTGTTCAACAGGGTGTTATGGAACAGCATGGTTTTTGTAACTGCAGTCCATCTTAGGAGAGGACTGTAGTCTCTAGCCTCGAGATGAGAAAACAGGCCCCCAGCCCTAAATGACGACGAAGCAGACCGTCCAGTCACTTGTCGTTGACTGCCGGTTGTGAATTCAGCTGGGATTGTGCTTGAGACTGCGAAGAAGACCTCGCACACAGTTTAGCTGGCAGTTCCTCCACCAAAGTCACATCCACGTCCCTCGAGCTCGTCTCCCCACGCACCTTCTCCTTCCCTTGCCCAACTGCCACTCCTTGACCTCTGTACGCTGCATTCTCAGTTGGGGCTTGAACACCCGCGACATGCTAACCGCTCGTTTCAACACGTGTTTCTTATTAAATTCCACACTCCAGCGCGTTCTTTCACTCTTTTCGTTCCTGCTTGAGAGATGTGGACAGGGAACGAGAGCAAGCAAGTGTAGCCGCATGTGGCTTCATTGTGTTACTGCAGCCTGAGGCCGTGGAAAGTGACGGGAAATGCTAGATAGGACGCAAAATGGTTGGCGGTTTCAACGGGTCGTTCGGTGGCTGGGGAGTTGGCAGATTGGTCTGGTAGTGCTGCCTTGTACCTGATTTGAGGCCCAAAATCAGTTTGGTATGATTTTTGAGGGGACACGAAATGTACTGAGCTTCGATAATGTCTTCGCGGAATATCTGCATCTAGTCGCATTTGTCCATTGTACCGCACAACTTGCTTGACAAGCCAAACTGACGGCTAACTGTCACAGCGGCAGTTTGTCCATGAAGACTTCCAGATGGACTTCCAAGGTGAGAACAAGGACAGCTGGCTGTGGACAAACAGACCGTTTGCGTTTCTTTGATGGTTCCGAAGGTAGTGGAGGTGTTGGGCGAGTCCATGTCTGGTCCTCCTCCTTTCATGCGACACCGCCTCTCCATTTCCCCCATGCCAACACCGTTCATCAGGATCTTGGGCAGCTCCTCGCAGTATTTCTTCATCGTAGATCCTGTCGTGAGCAGAAGTGGGTCAAAAGCGCGTGTAAGGGATGGATGGTCGAGGTAGAGGGTGCGTGCACGTGCCGCAGGGATGGACTGAGGAGGTGTAGAGGCATTATTGACTGTGAAGCATGTCAGCACCACACCACACTTGAAATGAAGTAGATAGAACCTTAGGGAGCCGGTACATTTGGAATCTTGTGTTTCTTCGTTTCAGTCAAAGGGGAAGAAGTCATTTGAGATGCTTTTCTCTTGAACCGTAGACCAAGTCACCCTTCTGCTTGTATGTAGAGGTCTGTGAGGTTGCCATTTGATTGTGCGACTGAGAGAGGGCAACTCCAGCACAAACAGAATTCCTAACAAACATCGTCGTGTTTGCCAACTGCTGTGCTCAACACGTGGAAGTATTGGGGGTCTCCGGGTGTCAGGTACTCATTTCTTTCCTTCGCCCACTTCAGATTCCTTCCATCTACCAGTGTCTTCTCCACCTCAGCATGAGTGAAATGAATATTTTTCCGGGCGCTCGTGACGTTGTCGTGAGTGGCACAATCTACGCAGCCAGCACCGTGTGTGAAATTGTCGGGTGTTTGTTCGTAGAGCAAGCTGATGGCCTGAATTTCTCGCAGATAAACATCTATAACAACTTAGCAATATCTGATGCGGTAATCCCCCTTGTGCCAAACCCGAGCACTCGGTTCACAGGTTGAATGGAGATTATCAAAAAACTCAAGGAACATTTTTTCGCTAATTCCACGGATGGTGTTCAGAAAAGAAAGTACTTTCTACTGCATGGAATGGGAGGTATTGGAAAGACTCAAATTTGTTTGAAGTTTATTGAGGAAATGTCTGATGAGTGAGCACATTATCACACTTCAGTCACCCATTTTAGGGTACCTATGAGGTATATGAATTCTTTGATTTAAGGGTACCTCAATGGTACCCATTCCAGAGTGGTATGTGAGCACCATACCAATACCATGGTACCATGGAATGGAAAACTCATACCATATCCCACTCATACCAATACCAAGTTACCATACCATACCATGTCATGTTATACCATACCAGATGGTATGATACCACTTCATACCATCATACCAAAGCTGTCACTGGGTGTCTGGGGTCCTTTTCCAAAAGAAATAAATTATTTCTGCAGGCTGCAATACTGGTCCATTGGGTGCCATTTTTTGTGGGGTGGTTCTCCATGTTTTTCTTGAGATATTGAGCTACAAATTGAGGCTAAATAGTCCAAACCATCTATTGAAAATGAGCTTAAATAGGCTTTATCCCAGCTTTCACATGCATCCAAAGCCATTTAATGATACATATCTTTCCCAGTCCTTTCTATTTGAACAAATATTCATCCAAATCAAACAATACCACATCTATTGGGATGAAGTGGTCATTGAAAAGCAAAGAAAAGTGGAAAGGTTCTTCAGGTTTTTTCTAAGATTTCCAACTCCAAGTGGAGGCTAGATAGTCAACTCCAACCTTTGGAAATCAGTTCAATTGAGGGTTTTTTCATTTCTAAAAAGCCATTAATATGAATCCTTTCAATAATAGGTTAAATATATTTTTTGTTAATTGGAAATGGAATCAAGTCTTGTTGTCCTAAGAGTCTTGATTATCAAAATATCATACCATGGTATTGTAATCCCATGTTGCACCCTCATACCATACCATGCACCCTCATACCATACCATGGTATGGCACCCCCATACCATGATATTGCACCCCCATACCATGGTATTGCACTCCCATACCATGGTATTGCACTCCCATACTATGGTATTGCACTCCCATACCATACCATACCATACCATACCATACCATGCACCCTCATACCATACCATGGTATCAGGAACCATAATCTATTTTTATTTAGGCAGAGGAAGGCAGAAAACCCTCATTTCGAAGTTTGTTTACATATATTTACCAATAGCTTTGACCAAAGTGAGGCTAAAATTTTGTAGTGTCCGCTTTGATGTGTGCACTATTTCCTAATTGGGCCATTTCCTAATTGGGAAAAGTGTTACACTTTTTCCTGCCACACCTAATGTCAGGCACAGTGTGCAGTTAGGTTGGGAACTGTTTCCCACTCTCTTTGGGCCACTGGAGTTAGTGGCTAGCTTAGTGTTGTCACTGTTCATGACGATGTCCGCACTATTTCCTAATTGGGAAAAGTGTTACACTTTTTTCTGCCATATCTAATGTCAGGCACACTGCGCATTGTTCATGACGATGTCCGCACTATTTCCTAATTGGGCCATTTCCTAATTTGGAAAAGCGTTATACTTTTTTCTGCCACACCTAATGTCAGGCACGCACATTTAGGTTGGGAACTGTTTCCCACGCTCTTTGGGCCACTGGAGTTAGTGGCTAGCTTAGTGTTGTCATTGTTTATGACGATGTTCGCATATTTCCTAATTGGGAAAGTCATTACATAATATCAGTTTGGTTTGTACTGTCCGCTTTTTCACTACAAAAGTTACTAGTGTGCGCTTTTTTCACTACTAAAGTTTGTAGTCTTCACTTTTTTCATTACAAAAGTTTGTAGTGTCCGCTTTTTGGACAACAAATATTTGTAGTCTTTGCCTTTGTCATTACAAAGGCTTGTAGTGTCCGCTTTTTTCATTACAATGTTTGTAGTGTGCGCTTTTTAGACTACAAATGTTTGTAGTGTCCGCTTTTTGGACTACAAATGTTTGTAGTGTCCGCTTTTTTTATTACAATGTTTGTAGTGTGCGCTTTTTAGACTACAAATGCTTGTAGTGTCCGCTTTTTGGACTACAAATGTTTGTAGTGTGCGCTTTTTTCATTACAATGTTTGTAGTGTGTGCTTTGTGGACTCCAAATGTTTGTACTCTCGCTCTTTTTATTACAAAGGCTTGTAGTGTCCGCTTTTTAGACTACAATGTTTGTAGTGTCCGCTTTTTAGACTACAAATGTTTGTAGTGTCCGCTTTTTTCATTACAATGTTTGTAGTGTGTGCTTTGTGGACTACAAATGTTTGTACTCTTGCCCTTTTCATTACAAAGGCTTGTAGTGTCTGCTTTTTCAGACTACAAAAGTTTGTAGTGTGCACTTTAAAAGCTTGTGGTCTGCTTTCCTGATATTGTCCCTGTATCTATCCAGGTACATGGGGATATAGCTCAATGTTTCAGAGCAACTGACTCTAGCCAAAACAGCTCTTCATCATTCAGCCTTTGTACCATCCAGGGAATCATAGAAAGTAAGAAGAGGCTACACTGACATGTCAAAACTCATGCCCAAGTTGTCTTGTTCTGACCTTCTCTTTGACCTGCTTAAGTCATGTTCTCATCATATCCAACACTCTTGCATATCTCTGAGGACTCATCTATGTCTGACCATAGCCAACCTCAACATGATTTCTTTCAAGACTAGGCTCTCCTCCCTTTCTATTTCATAGTAAGTTCCCACCATCTCCCCTTTCCCATAGTTACTCTTAAATGTAATTCCTTGCAAGGTACAAAGAGTGAATAATTTGCCAGCTGTTTAGCTTCAGTCAATT